TCAGCTTCCTGAGTGGCTAGGACTACAGGTGCACACCATCACACCCAGATAATTTCTGTACTTTTAGTAGAGACAATGTTTCATCATGTTGGCCATGCTAGTCTCAAACTCCTGGACTCAAGTGATCCACCTTCCTCGGCCTCCCAAAGGACTACGGTTATAAGCCTGAGCCACCATGCTCTGCCTTGATTTTTTTTTTTTTAACCTAACAATATACCAAGAACATTTTCTTACGCTACCTGATAATCTTCTATATTATGATATTTACTGGCTGACGAGTGTTTTATCTATAGATAAACCACAGTTTATCCATTATTTAAGTAACTTATTTATCAATTGTGCCATTTCTGATACTCTTTTAAATAATATGGTGAATAGTCACAAACATTTTATACATCTGGTTATTTTTCTGACCTATATTTCTGTAAGTAGAATTTTTGAGGTCAAAAGGCGTAAAAATTTGTCAGGCTATTCAAGAAATGTAAAAATGAGGCTAGGAACAGTGGCTCACTCCTATAATCCCAGCACTTTGGGAGGCCAAGGTGGGTGGATCACCTGAGTTCAGGAGTTCGAGACCAGCCTGGCCAACATGGTGAAATCCCGTCTCTACTAAAAATATTTAAAAAATTAGCCAGCTTGGTGGTACGCACCTGTAATTCCATTTACTCAGGAGGCTGAGACAGAAGACTTGCTCGAACCTGGGAGGCAGAGGTTGCAGTAAGCTGAGATTGTGCCACTGCACTCCAGCCTGGGTGACAGAGCAAGACTCTGTCGCCAAAACAAAACAAATGAAATGTAGAAATGAGAGTATAAGGGTATAATTAAAATTTGTTTTAAAAAGCCACACAAACAGTAATAACATTGGCTCTCTTCTCATTTTTTTTCCTTCAGGCCCAATATGTATTGATTTCTCCCGAAGTAAGTATTCCTTGAAGGACTAAAGAAAAGTTACAAAAAAAAAAAAAAAAAGCCCTTTGGCTTTAAAGTATTACGCTGTGTTCTCCAAAGCCCATTAACTGAGTGTGTTTTACAGGCCAGCTCAAGATTTGGGAGCTCTCTGATCACCGTGAGGTCCAAGGCAAAGGTGAGCCCAACAACTGCACTTCATTGATGTTTATGTTAGTGCGAAAGGTGGGATTTGGTGGTCTCACCTTTAGGTTTAGTTCAGATTTTATTTTTATTTGAAAACGAAAAGAACACAAAAAGCAACATTCACATATAATCCCATCACTTTCTTGGTGTCAAGTTTCCCTTTTTATTCTTCCTATTTTGTTCTCTACATCAGGGACTGCGGTCAACCCGTCTGCCACCTAGTTTTGTAAAGCCATGAACTGAAAACATCAGCTCATGTTAAGATGGCTAGAAAGAAATCAGAACAGAGTATTTTGTAACATGTGAAGTTTCAATGCTGTTGACATGTCAGTGCCCATGCTGTTGTAGTGGAACCCAGCGGGCTCATTTGCTGTAGACTGCCCACGGCTGCTGTCGCACTGAAATGGCAGAACTGACTGGCTGCTTTGGAGACTGATGCCCCACAAAGCCTAATGTCTTTATTATCTGGCCTGTTCCCCAAAATTGTTTGCTGGCCCTTGCCCTAGAGGATAACCATTGTTAATAGTTTGCTGTTTTCTCCCAGACTTTCAGTTTTTCCTTTATTTTTTACATAGAACCTTGCCCTGTTGCCCAGGCTGGAGGGTAATGATGCAAATTCCGCTCACTGCAACCTCCACCTCCCCAGTTCAGGCGATTTTCCAGCCTCAGCCTCCTGAGTAGCTGGGATTACAGGTGTCCACCACCATGCCTAATTTTTTTTCTGAATATTTTGTAGAGAAGGGGTTTTGCCTTGTTGTCCAGTCGGGTCTTGAACTCCTTCCTGGCCTCAGGTGAGGTGCCCGCCTCTGCCTTCCAAAGTGCTGGGATTACAGGCATTTGCCACCACACTGAGCCCAGAGTTTTTCTATGATTAGAGAGAGAGAGAGAGAGAGAGAGAGAGAGAGAGAGAGAGACACAGACACACACACACACACACACACACAC